CATTTATTGGCATTTTGTTTCTTTTGTTGTTTCTGGAGATTTTCTCTGTTCCTTTCTTGTCTTTGTCACTTTTGGTCTTTCCTTTCCACTCAAAGACTTCCTTTTAATATTTCTTGCAGGGCTAGCTTAGTGGTCACGTACTCCTTTATTTTTTGTTTGTCTGGGAAACTCATTATCTCTCTTTCTATTCAGAATGATAGCCTTGCAGGATAGAGTATTCTTGGCTGCAGATTTTTCCAGTGATCACTTTGAATATATTATGCCACTTCCTTCTGGCTTGCCAAGGTTCTGTTGATAAATCTGCAGCTGGCCTTATGGGTCTTCCCTTGTACATTAAGGACTAATTTTTTTAAAGATTTCATTTTTTAAGTCATCTCCATACCCAAAATGGGGCTCAAGCCCACAACCTCAAGATAAAGAATTGCATGCTCTACTAGCTGAGCCAGCCAGGCATCCCTAAGAACTTCTTTTGTTTTACTGCTTTTAAGATTTTATTCTTTATCATTATATTTTACAAATCTAATTACAGTATATCTTGGTGTTGGCCTGCTTTTGTTGATTTTGATAGAAATTCTCTGTGTCTTGTGGATCTAGATGCCTGTTTCCATCCCCAGATTAGAGTAGTTTTCAGCTACTATTTCTTCAAATAAATTTTTTGCCCCCTTTTCTCTCTTCCTCTTCTGGGACTCCTACAATATGAATGTTATTACATTTGATGGTGTCACTGAGTTCCCTGTCTATTCTCATGTTGCATAATTCTCCCCTCTCTTTTTTTCAGCTTCGTTACTTTCCGTTACTTTGTCTCCTACATCACAGATTCTTACCTCTGAGTCTTCCAGCCTGCTGTTTGTTACATCAGGTGTGTTTCTAGGGTTTTTTTTTTAAGATTTTATTTATTTATTCTTGAGAGACACAGAGAGAGAGTGAGGCAGAGATACAGGCAGATGGAGAAGCAGGCTCCATGCAGGGAGCCCGACATGGGACTCGATCCCGGGTCTCCAGGATCACACCCTGGGCTGAAGGTGGCGCTAAACCACTGAGCCACCAGGGCTGCCCATGTTTCTAGTTTATTGCACTTTTCATCTCTGATTATTTATTTTTTTAAAATTAGCCCCCCCTCCCACAGTGTGGGGCTTGAACTCACAATGCTGAGATCAAGAGTTGGACACTTAACTGACTGAGCCACGCAGGTATCCTTGATTCTTTTTTTTTAACTTGTATCTCTCTTTTTAAGTGTCTCACTGATGTCTTCTCCTCTTTTCTCAAGCCCAGTGAGTATCCTTATGTTTGTTGCTTTAAGTTCTCTATCAGGCCTTTTACTTATATCTGTTTTGGTTAGATCTCTGGCCATGGCCTTGCTCTTTTCATTTAAGAGTTTGCTTTATCTTCACATTTTATCTAAGTCTCTGCCTTTTTCTGTGTGGTGGAGAACCATTTATTTATCCTGCTTCTGAAAGTAATGGCCTTATGAAGAGGCTGTGTAGTGCCCAGGGCCTGGCACTTCATGGAGTGTGTCCTGTGTGTGCTGTTTGAGCCCTGCTGTTGTAGTTTCAGCTGCTCTGTCCTTCACACCAGTTATCTGCAGAGGCTCTCCTTGCCTACTCTGGGCAGCATTTGGTCCCTGGTCTGAATGTAGCGAGTTTGAACTAGGTGTGCTGTGGTCTGCCTGTGAAACGAGACCCATCACCAACTTCACTGGAACTAAGGCCCTGCAGAGCCCTCTGGTCAGGAGATGGGTGGACAGGGGTTTGTGCTGGCCTCTGAGGAAGGGGCATGCCGTGCTGGGACTGAGGCTGGCGTGACTGAGAAGGGCAGTTCCACCCGAGTGCTGGAGCAATAGACTTGTTGTAAGCAAGTCAGATAGCCGGCATCAGCGACACATTCCTTGCTACAGATGGCCCTGTGTATGCTGAGGGGTAGGGAATTGAAATGGCATTGGCCAGCCTCTTTGTTCCCATGGAGGTGTCTCCATGAGTGTTGCCTCTCAGGCATACCCTCCAAGAAGAGTGAATAATCTTCCTACTGTGTTCCCCAGGTATTGAGCTTATTTTTGTATATGCTATATGAAAGCGGTCCAGTTTCATTGTTTTGCCTGTAGCTGCCCACTTTTCCTAGCACTCATTTATTGAAGAGACTGTCTTTTCTGCATTGTTCTATTCTTGCCTCCTTTGTTCTCGATTAGTTGACCATATAAGCATGGGTTTATTTGTGGGGTCTCTATTTCATTCCATGATCTATGTGTCTCTTTTTGTCCCAGTACCATACTTTTTTGATTTCCTTTGTAGTATAGTTTAAAATTAGGAAGCAGGATCCCTGGGTGGCGCAGAGGTTTGGCGCCTGCCTTTGGCCCAGGGCGTGATCCTGGAGACCCGGGATCGAACCCCACGTCGGGCTCCCGGTGCATGGAGCCTGCTTCTCCCTCTGCCTATGTCTGTGTGACTATCATAAATAAATAAAAAAAATTTAAAAAAGGATATAAAATGTTTAAAAAATAAATAAAAAAATAAATAAAATCAGGGAGCATGATACCTAGCCTTGTTCTTTCTTAAGATTGCTTTGTCTGTTGGAGATGTTTTGTGGTTCCTTTTAAGGTTTAGGATTATTTGTTATAGTTCTGTGAAAAATGCTCTCAGTATTTTAATAGAGGTTGCATTAAATCTGTAGATTGCTTTAGCTACAGCATTTTAACAATATTTTTTATTTCAGCCTATGAGCATGATATCTTTCCATTTATTTATTTGTGTCATCTTCCATTTATTTTGTCAAAATACATGGTTTTCAGAATACATGACTTTTGTATCCTTGGTTAAATTTATTCCTAAGTATTTTAGTTTTTTTGATGCACTTGTAAATCTGTTTTTTTTAAGATTTTATTTATTTATTCATGAGAGACACTCAAAGAAAGAGAGAGAAAGGCAGAGACACAGGCAGAGGGAGAAGCAGGCTCCACACAGGGAGCCTGATGTGGGACTCAATCCCGGGTCTCCAGGATCAGGCCCTGGGCTGAAGGCGGTGCTAAACCACTGAGTTACCCAGGCTGCCCCTGATTTACTTTCATTATTAGTAATTGTTCTTCAGATTTTCTAATTCATCATGATTCAGTCTTGGAGAATTGTATGTTTCTAGGAGTTTATCCATTTCTGTCTGATTTGTTGGTGTATAATTGTTGATAGTATTTTCTTAATCCTTTGTATTTCTGTGGTATGAGTTGTAATTTCTCCTTGCTTGTTTCTGATTGTATTTATTTGGGCTCTCTTTTCTTAAGTCTGGCTAACAATTTGTTGATTTTGTTTACCTTTTCAAAGAAGCAGCTCTTAGCCTCATTGATGTTTTTTTTCTTTTTCTTTTTTTAAGATTTTACTTATTTATTCATGAGAGACACACAGAGAGAGGCAGAGACATAGGCAGACATAGGCAGATGTGGGACTTGACTCCAGGACCACACCCTGAGCCAAAGGCAGATGCTCAACCAGCCACCCAGGTGCCCCAAGATAGTGTTATATTAGTTTCATATGCACAATATGATTCAACATTTACATATAACACCTGGTGCTCATCACAAGTGCCTCCCTTAATCCCTATCACCTGTTTCACCCATCCTCCCACCCACCCACCCTCCTACCTCCCCTCTGGTAATCATCAGTTTGGTGTCTGTAATCAAGAGTCTGGGGCAGCCCGGGTGGCTCAGCGGTTTAGCGCCGCCTTCGGCCCAGGGCATGGTCCTGGGGGCATGGTACTGGAGACCTGGGATCGAGTCCCACATCAGGCTCCCTGCATGGAGCCTGCTTCTCCCTGTGTCTCTCATGAATAAATAGATATAAATCTTTGGGAAAAAAAGAGTCTGTTTCTTGGCTTGCCTGTCTCTCTCTCTCTCTTATTTTCCCCTTTCCTTGTTCATTTTGTTTCTTAAATTCCATATATGAGCGAAATCATACGGTATTTATTTTTCTTTGATGGACTTATTCCACTTAGCATAATACTCTCTAGCTCCATCCACATTGCAAATGGCAAGATTTCATTCTTTTTTTATAGCTGAGTGCTGTTCCATTGTATACATATACCACCACATCTTCTTTGTCCATTTGGGCTCTTTCCATAATTGGGCTATTGTAGAAAATGCTGCTATAAATGTTGGGGTGCATGTATCCCTTCAAATCAGTATCTATGAATCCTTTGGATGAATACCTAGTAAAGCAATTGCTGGATTATAGGGTAGTTCTATTTTTAACTTTTTGAGGAACCTCTATACTGTTTTCCAGAGTGGCTGCACCAGTTTGCATTCCCACCACCTTTTCTCCACATCCTTGCCAACATCTGTTGTTTCTTATGTTAATTTTAGCCATTCTGACAAGTGTGAGATGGTTTTGATTTGTGGTTTCTCATCGTGGTTTTGATTTGTATTTCCCTGTTGTACTTTTAATCTTGTAACATTTATAAACCTTTTCCTTTATGAGTAACATTTTTCACATCTTGTTTTAGAATTCTTTCTCTACCCCAAGACTATGAAAACATTTTCCTGTACTCTTTTATAGGCTCCTTATTGTGTTATCTTTCACATTAGATTTATAATTTCTCTGTAGCTTATTTTTGTGTATGGTGAGTTGGTGGCTAAATGTGATTTTTCCCCCTATAAAGGTATCCAGCTAATCTGTCCATATTTATTTAAAAAGATCATCTTCTCCCCACTGCCTTGCCAGTGTCAACTTTGTTGACACTCAGGTGTCCATACATACTTGGATTTTCTTTTTAGTCCTACTGGACTATTTGTCTATCCTTGTGCAAATACTACATCGTCTTACGTATATCCTGTATTCTTATGGAATATTCCATATACTTGATGGAATAGTTTTTTTTTTACCCTGGTTTGTAATTTTCCAAGGAAGTAGGCATCCTGTATTAAATCATCATCATGAACTGGGAACCCAGTCAGCATTTCCCTACATTGCATCCTCATCACCCAGTTGTCAGTGTTTTAGAGTAAAAGGAATGTGCAATTACAGGAACTCGTGGCATTTGAGGATGTGCTTGTGGATTTCACCCCAGAAGAGTGGCAGTACCTGAACTCATCACAGAAGACTCTGTACAGAGAAGTGATGCTGGAGACCTACGGCAACCTGGTCTCTGTGGGTAAGAATGGCTCCATCGAGTAATTTTGCTGCTTCTGATTATTGTGTATGGTAGAGGGCCATTCTTTTCTCAGTTTGGAAAACTTGTAAGGTCTCTGAACTGCTTGAAAAGTTTGACATTGAAACGTTCTGGGATCAAAGTTTCCTGACAGGGTGTTTGTGAACTCAAAACCCAGGTGAAATGGTTTGACTTGACCATTGAGTCAAGTGATAGGTCTCTCATGCTGCCCCAAACTCCACCTTCCTATTTCTCAGAGGCTCTGAAGACCCAAGGAGGTATCACTGTCATTTATCATTAGCAGGGCAGCAGGATACCAAACCAGATCTCATCCTCAAATTGGAGTTAGAAGGTCCATGCCTGGCAGAAAGAAAAATCTCAGTTTGGAGCTTTCCAGGTAAGTGGGGTTGACTCAGATGATGAAGACAAGAGGTGCCAGCTTGTCAACCAGGGGTGAGGACCTCTGAAAGAGCTTTCAGGGGTGTCTGGAGAAGGGTTGTGACCCTTTGATGTTATTGGATAAGAGACCAGAACACCCCAGACATGAGACTGACATTCCTCACCCTTGTCCCACACCTACCAGACCACTTCCCTTAAGTTGGTGCTTACCCAGAAGTTTACTTTCCCCAGTGGATACATGTCAAGTGCCAGTCCCCACCCCCAAGCCCTGCCACTTCTCTCATTTTCATTTCCCATTGCCTTATCTGAAGCCAGGCCCAAAGGAATCATAGGCCAAGGGACTGATAGTCTAATTCCAAATTGGATTACCTACTTCTATCCAGTTTAGATAGTCCTATCAGACTTGTTTGCCTAAAACATCTTGATTGTCTTTTTTTTTAAAAAAATAGCTTTATCAAGATATAATTCACAGACCATAACATTCACTCTTTTTGAAGTATACAAATTCAGCGATTTTTAGTATACTCATCAGGTTATGAAGCCATCACCATTATCTAATTCTATAATGTCATTATCACCCCCAAAAAGAAACCCTCACCCCTATCAGTCAGTCTCCATTTCCAACCACCACTCCCCTCAATGCCCTGGCAACTACTTCCTGCCTCAATAGTTTTTCCTATTCCAGAGATTTCATATAAATGGAACCATACAAAATGTGGCCTTTTATGTTTGGTTTCTTTCACTTGACATGGCTTCAAGTTTCATTCATAGTGTAGCACATATCAGGACTTCAATCCTTTTTATGGTAGAATCATATTCTCTTGTCTGGATATGCCACTTTTGTTTATCCATTTATCTGTTGATGGATATTTAGGTTGTTTCCACTTTTTTGGCTATTATAAAGCTACTATGTGGGAGCTTGGGTGGCTCAGCAGTTGAGCGTCTGCCTTTGGCTCAGGGCATGATTCTTGAGTCCTGTGATGGAGTCCCACATTGGGCTCCCTGCATGGAGCCTCCTTCTCCCTCTGCCTGTGTCTCTGCCTCTTTCTCTCTGTGTCTCTCATGAATAAATAAGTAAAATCTTTTTAAAAAGCTGCTATGAACATTTGCATAGAATTTTTTTAAATTTATGATAGTCACACAGAGAGAGAGAGAGAGGCAGAGACACAGGCAGAGGGAGAAGCAGGCTCCATGCACCGGGAGCCCGACGTGGGATTCGATCCCTGGTCTCCAGGATCGCGCCCTGGGCAAAGGCAGGCGCCAAACCGCTGCGCCACCCAGGGATCCCTGCATAGAATTTTTATGGCGATGAATGTTTTGAGTATGTACATGGGAATGGAATTGTCAGACACGTGTTTAACATTTTGTAGAACTGCCAAATGGTGAATATCCTGTTCTCAAAAATTTTTGTCCAGTATTTTAATACTCACAGATGATTCTTGCCTGAGTCAATTTATAAGATGGTTGGAAGAAGGGTGAATTTTCTATCATTCCTTATATATTTATAACTAGGCATTCTTCTCTTACCCCATCCCATTAATGAACTAATTTTAGTATCAGTATGGATTCAGGTTTTTATTTTCTAGTATGCTCCAATACATTAAAGTCTACTGTTATTATACATCTTGTTGGGTTTATTAAAAAAAGATTTTTGAGAGTGAGAGTAAGCAAGAGAGAGCATGAGCAGAGGGAGGGGGCATAGGGAGAGGGAGCAGCAGGTTCCCTGCTGAGGAGGGAGCTGATGCGGGGCTCGGGGGCTCGATCCTGGGATACTGGGATCGTAACCTGAGCTGAAGGTAGATGCTTAACTGACTGAGCCACCCAGGCAACCCTCATTATTCATTTTGATGTTCAAATTGACCTCAGTTTGTCTAGTAGGAGTCCTTTCAGGCTGGCTCCTCTGTCTTTTAACATGACCCCATCTTTCTTTGAGTACTTTCTAACACAAAAATATGTTCTAGGTTCACGCTGTACTTTCCCTGTTTCAGACCTAGAATCAGCAACGTCTCCAAGGATCTTTGATTCCTTTTAGTGGGGAATATCATTGAGAAATCAGGATTTGAGTGCAGAGTGTGCTCGGATTCTTGTTTCTCAAAACCTACAAATGATTCCTGTCCATCTTTCCCCCGCCCCCCTTTTATTTTTTTTAAAGTAACTAGTCAATTTGTCTTTTAGTTTCCCACAATCTGGACTTTACTGAGTACCTTATGGTATTTAACATATTCGTCTGTCCCTTGTTTTTCTTGTAAATTGGTGGTTAGATTCTGAAATTTGATCAGATTCAGGGTTCTACTTTTTCTTTTAACAAGTTTACTTCCTAGCTGGTGTGACATACTTCCATCAGGAGGTGTGTAATGCTTGGTTGTTTATTGTAGTTAACAGTAGTGACTATTGCTTTTATCTTCATTAGTGTTTGCAAAATGTGGGCAGCCCTGGTGGCTCAGTGGTTTAGCGCTGCATTCCGCCCAGGGTGTGATCCTGGAGACCCGGGATCGAGTCCCACCTCGAGCTCGCTGCATGGAGCCTGCTTCTCCCTCTGCCTCTGTCTCTCTCTGTGTGTCTCTCATGAATAAATAAATAAAATCTTTAAAAATTTTTTAAAAAATGTTTGCAAAATGGTGATATTTTGTTCCTTCTTTGTTGATTAGCTGGAATACTTCTATAAAGAGGACTGCCTTTCATCTGTTATTTGCTTATATGTTAGTTGCATGAGTTCTGTTTCAGTTATGTATGTTTTTCTATTTGTTTACCAGTTTTAAAAGTAATGAGTTGGTTTTGTAGCATTATTCAAAAGATGACTATTGTGTGTTTTAATCCATTGCCTTATTCTCACTATGAATCAAACTGCCCTATCTCTGGCCAACAGAAACCCCTTCAAATTGGCTCCTGAGTCTTTGGTAGCTTCCTTGCTTTCTGATGTTACAAGATGTTCCAGGTTCATTTCATGGCCTGGAATCAGCCATTTCTCTAAGGAACCCTGTGTTTTTTCCTTTTTTGTGATAAATACTGTTTTGAGACCACAATTTGGATGTTAGGGAATTGTTTCTAGGCCTTTTAAAAATTGACAGGGCTTGGAACTATGTAAAAAATATTTTTAAAAAAATTTTCTTTCTTTATTTGAGAGAGCATGAGCAGGGGGAGGGGCAGAGGGAGAAGCAGACTGTCCTCTGAGCGTGGAGCCTGATGCAGTGCAGGGATTGATCCTGTGACCTTGGGATCATGACCTGAGCTGAAGGCAGATGCTCAACTGACTGAAACACCCAGGTATCTCACAAAAAGGCTTTTAAAAGAAAACATATCATGTTTTCAAATTGGTATTTCCACTTCATTTAAAAAAATCGGTATTTCCAAATCTAATTCCGGACTTAAAGGTTTTTAATTTGTTAATCTTACATCTTTTTTTAAAAAGATTTTATTTATTTATTCATGAGAAATACAGAGAGAAGAGAGAGAGGTAGAGACACAGGCAGAGGGAGAAGCAGGCTCCATGCAGGGAGCCCTATGTGGGACTTGATCCTGGTCTCCAGGATCACGCCCTGGGCTGAAGCCGGCGCTAAACCGCTGAAACACCTGGGCTGCTCTGTTAATCTTAAATCTGATGGTAATATTGTTAATATTATTCTGAGACTGCTGTCTATAGTGGTTTGAATCAATTGAGGTAATCATGTTGGTATCATTGATAATCAAGACTTCATGGTTGGAAATGATTTAGAAATACAGATGAGGATATATTATTATTGTGGAATCCTTTTAAATTCAGTTTTGCTTTATGATAATATAAAATACTTGGTTCCAAAGTCAAGTCTAGAAAACAAGGTGTATTTGAAGCAGTTCAGCTTCTTTCCCTTCATTTCACTCTTTTCCTTCCTTCTGTAGGTAACCATTCATTAAAATTGAAAGGTATATTCTTCCATTGTTTACATGATGAGTGTATATAAATATATATTTCTTTCCTTAGAAAAATGGTAGTCCACTATGTACATTTTTTAAAAGATTTTATGTATTTATTTTTAAGGATTTATTTATTTATTCATGAGAGACACAGGCAGAGGGAGAAGCAGGCTCCTCACAGCCCACAACTCCAGGATCATGCCCTGAGCCGAAGGCAGACGCTCAACATGGCTGAGCCACCCAGACGTCCCAAGATTTTATTTATTTAACAGAGAGAGAGTGCACAAGCAGGGGGAGTGCCGGCAGGGAGCCTGATGCAGGTCTTGATCCCAGGATTAAGTTAAATATAATTCCTTTTTATAGTAGTGTAGTGGCTGTTAATCAAATAGTTGTTCTTGCAGTAGTAGCATCAGTTGTTTTAGTAAACAGTTGAAAGTACTTCCTGTGTGCCATGCATGCCCTGTTATAAATAGTTTAATCCCATCAACATATTTAGGTGGGTACTGTTATAATTCCTGTTTCCAGGTAGGAAATAAAATATGAATAGATAAGTAAGTTGCTAAGGTCACAGAGCAAGTGAGTGGTTGAGTCAGGATTTGATCCTGGATTAGAAGGTTTATGGCCCTAATTATGCTGCTTCTTACCACCTAATGACATCCAGATTTAGTAGATGCTTGGTGGAGCTTGTGTTCTATTAGGTGTACTTTGAAAGTTTTTTTTCTGAACCTGGGTGGATCAGTCGGTTGGGCATCTCAGAGTACTGTGATCAAGCCCCGCATGGGGCTTCCTGCTCATCAGGGAGTCTGCTGATCTGTCTTCCACCTCCTTACCCCTCACCACTGCACAGCTCAGTCTGTCTCAAATAAGATCTAAAAAAAAAAACCTTTTTCTGTGATTCTGATGTTCATGTGTGACTAAGAATTAGTGCTTTGCTAATGAAATTAAGGATGTCCTAACAACATGCTCCATTTTAAAATTCAGTTTTACTATTTCAAATGTTATCACTATTAAATCTAAGTGGTAGTATGAGTAGTTTTCTACTGTTTCATCTTCTCTGTATGTTTGATAATTTTGTTACAAAATTTTAGGAAAAGGTGAAAACTACAGAAATCATTAAAATTCATTATATATGCAAAAATTATTTACCATATTTTACTGACTTCAAGATCCAATTGATTTTAATACATACTACTAAGAAAAATTGGCACCAATTAATTGATGACATGCCATTGGTTATAAGGTACATTTGGATTCAGTGATGTGTTAAAATGTGAAATAATATGCATCTTACAGTTGATGAAATATGGTATATTTAAGGCGAAGCTTTGCAACTTTAACTGTCTAAATGAGCAGTACAGATGACTACTTTAGAAATTTAAAAAATTAAAGTTAGGAAGATCAGAGTAAGCTTTTTTGAAAAGACTGAATTGTTTCTTGAAAGTTATCTAAATTCTGATTATAGCATAACATGAGGAAGGAGTTGGCATTAATATAGACATAGTTTTTAGTGAAAATAGTGAAAACAGGAGCAGAAAATAGTGAAAACAGGAGCAGAAGGTAATATTGAAGTATGAATGCAAACTTAGATGAATCCAGATTGGGGAAAGTTCTTTAAGGTTTTTTTTTTTTTTGTTTTTTGTAAGGTTAATTATTCTAGATCTTTGTCCTATTCACTAAGAATGTGGATTTGGGATTGTTGTAAGATTTGAATCCACTAACCACAGTTGCATTTTACCTAGTTATAAATAGCGTAAGTCATGTACGCTTAAAGGTTGATAAGTTCCCCAGAGTTTATGGAAATCCGAGATGATGTAAAAGTAAAGGTAAGAAATACTGAGATGTCAGGGTAAGATTGTTCTTGGTAACAAAGAGACTAGCAGGTGGGATTTCAGTAAAAGAACAAGATTTGATGGTTAAGACTCTCTCTAGGAACTCAGATAAAATGAGATAATACTGTCAGCATTTATAGGGTAGGGTATTTTTAAAAAAGGTCCATTATAGAATGTTAAATTACAAAAATGATTTATTTATTTATTTTATTTATTTTATTATTATTATTTAATAATATATAAATATTATTATTTATTATTTATTTTATTATTTATTATTTTATTTATTTATTTCCTTCTAGAAGAAGCCTGTCAAGTTGATGAACAGATTGAGAGACAGCACCAAGTTGACCAAGATAGATATTTGTTGATGCAAGTTGGATTCCCTGACAAAACAATTATCACCAAGACTGGCTATGACTACAATGAATTTGGAAATGCATTTCATCTGAATACAAACCTTGTTGCTTCAATACAAAGATCCCATAAACATGAGTCATTTGGAAATAGTATGGTAGATAATTTAGACCTATTTACCAGAAGCTCTGTAGGAAAGAAACATGATAATGGATGTGCAAAATTATTCTTCCATACCGAATATGAGAAAACAACTCCTGGAGTAAAACCCCATGGATATAGAGAGTATGGGAAAGCCCTCAGGCGAAAGAAAGGTCTTAGTCTACAAGAGAGAATTAAAAATGGAGAGAAACCCTTTGAATGCACCGCGTGTAGGAAAACCTTCAGCAAGAAGTCACACCTCATTGTACATTGGAGAACTCATACAGGAGAGAAACCTTTTGGATGTACTGAATGTGGAAAAGCCTTTAGCCAAAAATCTCAGCTCATTATACACTTGAGAAGTCATACAGGAGAGCGACCTTTTGAGTGTCCAGAATGTGGAAAAGCCTTCAGAGAAAAGTCAACTGTCATAATACATTACAGGACTCATACAGGAGAGAAACCTTATGAATGTAATGAATGTGGAAAAGCCTTCACTCAGAAGTCAAACCTCATTGTCCATCAGAAAACCCACACAGGAGAGAAAACTTACGAATGCACTAAATGTGGGGAATCTTTCATACAGAAGCTTGATCTAATTATACATCATAGTACGCATACAGGAAAAAAACCCCATGAATGTAATGAGTGTAAGAAAACTTTCAGTGATAAGTCAACCCTCATTATACATCAAAGAACTCACACGGGGGAGAAACCTCATAAGTGTACTGAATGTGGGAAGTCTTTCAATGAGAAGTCAACCCTCATCGTGCATCAGCGAACTCATACAGGAGAGAAACCCTATGAATGTGACGTGTGTGGGAAAACCTTCACCCAAAAATCAAACCTTGGTGTACATCAGAGAACTCATTCAGGAGAGAAACCTTTTGAATGTAATGAATGTGAGAAAGCATTCTCTCAGAAATCCTATCTCATGCTCCACCAGAGAGGTCATACAGGAGAGAAGCCCTATGAATGCAGTGAATGTGAAAAAGCATTTTCCCAGAAATCATACCTCATTATACATCAAAGAACTCATACGGAAGAAAAACCCTACAAATGTAACGAATGTGGCAAAGCCTTCAGAGAAAAATCTAAGCTCATTATACATCAGAGAATTCACACAGGAGAGAAACCCTATGAATGTCCTGTATGTTGGAAAGCTTTTAGCCAAAAGTCTCAGCTCATAATACATCAGCGAACACACACAGGAGAGAAACCCTATGCATGCACCGAGTGTGGCAAAGCCTTCAGAGAAAAATCCACGTTCACTGTACACCAGAGAACTCATACTGGAGAGAAACCCTACAAGTGTACAGAATGTGGAAAAGCCTTTACCCAAAAATCAAACCTTATTGTGCATCAGAGAACACACACAGGAAAGAAGGCCCATGGGAAAGGCCACAGCCGTAAGTCAAAGCTCATTGCACATTAGAGAGTAGGATCAAGGGTGCCTGTTTACGTTCACTGAGGGAAAGTTTTGTCCATTGAATTAACACTTCAAAAGTACATTCTGACTTCTGGTTCAAATACAGGGAGTAAAAGTCAGCCTCTCTTCTTTTTAGCTCAGTCTTCACCAAAACACTACAAGGAGCAAAAGCAAAAGTGTAATCTCTAATGTGACACAATGAGAAGATAGCCGAAATCCCGATGAGAGAACTGCCAGAGGCAGAGGAGATTGAGCACCGGGGCAGGAGACGTCAAAGGGAACACTCAGGGCTGCAGCTGTGAGACAGCACTGGTGAGGACACTTAGTAGAGGTTCAGGATAGCCTCTGAGTGCAAGGCCAACCACCATCCACAGCAGTACCAGCTGGCATGGGCAGGAAGGAGGTAGGAGGTCTCTTAGACCCATTTGGGGGTCCAAGGAGAGGCCTCGACAAGGGATTGCTCAGACAAGCCATATTTGTAGAAAGTAGTCTGTACTCATGAGCAGAGCACTTGGCAGGGGCTAGGGTGAGAGAAGGGGAGTGTTCCTTCTGAAGAACCCTACAGCTGCCCAGTTTACTGACTCTTAGAGGTCAACTCTAAAAGAAATACCAAATGGAAAAAGAAAAAAAAAAGCAATTTTAAGAAAAACTTATCCGCCTAGAATGTGGCCCTGGTTTCTTACCCCACATGAACCTCCAGGAAGCAGCAAGTCCAGGAAAAACTCTTACTTAAAAACTATTCTGAAGTAATGAAAACCACAAATGCAATTCCACGTCTGGAAATGTATATACTCATGCACGTACAAAATGATGAATGCACATCAGATACTCACTAGTGCATGGTTTGTGAGAGCAAAAGGTTGAAAGTTGTCCAGGTGGTAGGGGTCTGGATCCTGAAATCCATTTAATGCAGCAAACTCCTAGGTAGACAAAGTGAATATATAAAGAGAACTTGGACATCAAGTGTCCTGAGTGTACTGATGTGGGATGATCTCCAACATACATTATTATTAGGTGCAAAAAGCAAGGTTCAGGATGGTGAATATAATAGGCTACTGTTCGTATATAAAAAGAATAGATGGCAAGTACGTAATTGAGCATATATGCATAAATGAGCTCTGGGAAGTTACAAAAGAAGCTGAGTACCCTGATTACCTCTGGGGAAGGGGAAGGGAAGTGGGTGGCTTAGGGGTATGGAACCAGGAGGGAGACAACTGTATGTCCTTTCATAACTTTTGAAAATTGTGCTATGTGGATGTACTACCTTTTCAATGAATTAAACTTTTAAAAATGAATATTTTGTTCCATGGAAGTGATTATGAAGTTAGATTCTAGACATGGGATTTCATAACATTTAACACACATATGTTCAATGGAGAGTTTAATTATTTTTGAGTGAATAAGGAGAAGAATCGGTCAGAACAACAGGTACCCAGCCAGTTCCGAAGGCTCACAGGCATTGCTTTCCTGAGGGTGCCAAATAAGGTGATTCTTAGGTCAGTTGGGATCACATCATGGAAACCGGAAGTAATTGAGACCAGAATACATTTATTTGGTGAGCCTGGTGACCTCTGAAAATATCCTGTAATAAAGCCCACCATTGTCTTTCCATATTTGAACAAAATGATTTTAAATCACTTCACTTGTAGTTTGCGTGTATGTATATTTTTATGAGATAAAAGCATGAATACACAGGGAGATTGGGTAGCTCACCCCCTAGGTCACACTACTGCTGTTGATGTATCTGTAGCCACGGTCTGAATGCTACCAAAGACCAGGTAGAAGCATGTCTGCTCCAGAATAAGAGCTCCCACCATGTGCCATATTGTGGCCCTCACAGTTCTGTGGCTTTTCTCTGGGGCTCTACCGAGCTATGTAAAACCTGGGTATGGTCAGTGTTCGGATTTAACAAAACAAGTGAGTGAGTCAGACCTCCAGGACCTGTCTGTGCCCTTCTGGGCCTTTTTTTTTCCTGTAAATTATCCTGCAAGAAAAAGAGGTGTGGGCCCACTTTTATGAGCTCTGTAAGTCAGACATGTCCCATTTAGTGCCTTTCTAGGAAGAAGGAAACTTGGGAGAAAAAATATGCGGCTGGATGACTTGCTTCTGGTGCAGTCAGCTGAGAGGTTACCCAAAGGTCCTAAGAATGAAGCCTTTCATCTTCCTGCTCAAAAGGAATATTCCTGGGGATTCAGGCCTCTCAAAGGTCATCCTGAAGTGCGGTGTGAATAGGGTGTTGGATCTGCCGTTTCAGGTTGATCGTGGACACCAGTGTCCTGAGACACAGATGGCAGTCTGATGGGCCATGTGTGTGAGTGGAAGTGAGTGCAGTGTGGACCGAGGAGGGAAACGGAGTGTGACAGCAGGATGTGGGTAAATGGATGAATTAGGGGAAAGTAGAGGAGGGTAATGAAGGGCCAAGTGTTGGAGGAATGGGGGGACTGAAGAGGCGGGGTGGGGCGAACAGGGAAGAGTAGGGGGAAAATGGGTTAAATAGCCAGTGGGGTGAGTTACTGGGGAAGAACGAGTGTAAGTCAGTAGGAGTGATGATGGGGAAAGTGGGAGTAAGTAGTTTGAGTGAACGGGCCAAGAGTGGATGTTGGACATGTGGACAGCATGGAGTAAGCTGGGATGTGAAGCCTACTGGGGATGATGGTGGTAAATGGGGCTAAGAACAGAACAGTCAAGACAAGTGGCAAAACGTGGCCGAGCATTAGCAAGTGTGAAGAGGAAGAGTATGGGTGTCAGTGCGGGACAGGCCACTGGATCCAGGGAACAAAGGGTGCTCTGTGGTGAGCAGCTGGGATCTGTGGAGTTGGGCTTTAGGGTCTTGGGGTTTCGGTGATGCAGGATCTTGTGGTATTGGCAATGAGGGTTAGGGGGGACTGAGTGGAGGAGGCAGGAGATGGTCACGGGTTTCTGCACAAAGAGGAGCTGCCCCCGAAGACCCTGCAGTGATTATAAGCATATAGGATGGGAACAGCCCACATTTGGGATGCAGTGCTCAGCAAATGTTCCTCCCGTGTTCTATGTTCTTGTTCTTATTTGTATACAGTGGGAGAGGGAGAGGCCCCAGCACAATGTATCCTTGATACCACCCCCAAATCAGCTCTGCTGTGCCCATAGGCCAGCTTCAAGTCCTGTCTCCCATTATTTATGCCAGTTATTTGTCTTACTGCTTTAGCTAAAACCTCTAAGATGATAAACATAATGACGTCTTTAGCCTGTTTCCCAGGATCCTAGAGACTACTCAGATTCCGAAGATCAGCCCTGTGACCCTTGACTGGCCCTGTAAACCACCCAGATCAGCACTGCCCCCCCACCCGGTTTTTTAGCCAGCTACTTCATATTATCTCATTTCTTTGGGAAAACTCCACACTGATTTATGATCCCTTTTCACCTCACCCTTTGGGAATTGTTACTATGAGAAATCCCCCTGATACAATGATGGACTCCAACATACTACCAGGCAAGCTATCCAAAGGTCACAGAGTAGGATGGCTCACAGACCAAAATAAAATGCTCCAGTCACGTGGCTTATTGTCACTTTAAAAGCACAAGATCTATATAAAAACCCAAGAAGCAAACGGAAAGAGATGGGTAGTTAACACATTTAGAATAGGGCACAAACAGGGTGATGGACATTTCCCTGATTCCTTTGTTATGTAATGTTCATACACCCTTAGCTCCGTGTCTCCGGATCTCTTGCATCAGCCTCACTGGTTATGAAGACCCGAGTTGAAGTTTAAACAAGGGGCCAATGACATCCCCTGCTTGCCTCAGCTGTAGCTCACCAGTTAGCTTCCTGCAGTGTTCTGGGTTTTATCTGTGATCAATGGAACAATACTGTCACCAACTGGTGGGGAATTGAAGTAAAATGTGGCTGTTTCTTTGGGTTGCAGGATACCTCATGACCTAGTCTTCGCATTCCTCTCTATCTTAAACTAACACCCTTGTTCCATCATGTATTTGATATATTCTATTCATCTTTAGTGTACCCTATCACCTACTAACTTACTTGCTAACTAGTTAATACATTGTATGGGGCAGCCTGGGTGGCTCAGCGGTTTAGCGCCGCCTTCGGCCCCAGGTGTGATCCTGGAGACCGGGGATCGAGTCCCACATCGGGCTCCCTGCGTGGAGCCTGCTTGTCTCTGCCTCTCTCTGTGTCTCTCATGAATAAATAAATAAAATCTTTAAAAAATACATCGTATGAATTCTCAAAAGTAGCTTGTTATATATATATATATTTTTATTTATGATAGTCACACACAGAGAGAGAGGCAGAGGAGGAAGCAGGCTCCACGCACCAGGAGCCCAACGTGGGATTCAATCCCGGGTCTTCAAGATCGGGCCCTGGGCCAAAGGCAGGCGCCAAACCGCTGTGCCACCCAGGGATCCCAGTACCTTGTTATTTATACTTCACTCCTTAGGGTGAAGCTTAGCTATTTCAAGCTCCTAGCTTATTATCTATGCTTAACACTTAGAGGAATTTCCTCCATCACATTTGTTTTCATGTCCTCTAGAGGACAAACGATAAGAGAGAATCAAAGGGAGTTCTTTGAAAGGGTTAAGAAACAGGAGAAAGGGCAGCCCCGGTGGTGGCGCAGCGGTTTAGCGCCGCCTGCAGCCTGGGGTGTGATCCTGGAGACCCGGAATCCAGTCCCATGTCCGGCTTCCTGTATGTGGCCCCTTTCTCCATCTGCCTGTGTCTCTGCCTCTCTTTGTGTGTGTGTGTCTCTATGAATAAACAAAATCTTTAAAAAAAAAAACACGAGAAAGCCTAAACTGATCAAGAAAAAGGGAAAACAAACTTTCAAATTAGGAGCGGTAATAGTGGACTTCCTTACAGATTTCATAAACATTAAAAAAGGGAATTGTGAAAAAAAACTTTATGCCAACAAAATTGACAATTTAGTCAATGTAATTAATGGAGAAAATCACATAATAATCCCCATAGATGCAGAGAAGGGGATCTCATACAATTCAACACCCATTCATAATATAAATTCTTAGCAAACTAGGAATAAGAGAGAACTTCCTTAGTCTGATAAAGGGTGTCTCAAAAAAAATGGTAACAGTAAAAACTTTCTTTTTGAGATTGGGAATGAGAACTAGGATGCACTGTACTGGCAGACTTAGTGACATACAGTAAGAGGGTGAAAAGGAGTAATGACTGGAAAGGAATAAACCCCTCAATTTTTACAGTTGATGTACGTACACAGAAAAACCCAAAAGCATCTATAAATGAACTGATAGACTTAAGTGAATTTTGCAAGGCTGCTATATATAAGCTTGAACACAGACATTCTTTTCTAGTTGTTGTCAGTACAAAGAAAAATACCATAGCGTCAATTTGGGGAATAGAAGAGCAAATAATAGATGGGGCCAGGTAACGGAGATCCCTGAGAGGAGGAGTTTACATGTGGGTGGGGTGGAATCTGATTGAAATCTGAAAAAGCAGCTTACAGCTTCTCACAAGGAGGAGAGAAGGAAGCAGAAGGAACAAAGGTCACAAAGGTAAGGTATCAATGTCTGCATAAAAAAAAAAGACTGATGACAACTGGAGGGTTGGAGAATGAAAAGGCCTGGGAAAGGGAGAATGACCTAGAAGGGCTTGTTCCAGCTGAAGGAGGCAGGGATGAGATCTGAGGAAAAAGGAAGGCAGGTATGTTTCTTTCTCAAAGCTAAGCAAAGAATACGGGGTGGAAGGGCTGTGGGAATGTGGAAAGGTCATTTAAACCAAGGAGCTCACCCTCTTGTCCTATAATCACCAGTGGCCTACCTCCTCTCCTTTAAGGAAGACCAAAGGTATATGTCGATGGCATGTCAAATCTCCCTCTCACCAGCTAGAACCTTCCACCCACCATCACCAACCTTCTTAGTCCTTACCTATGCAACTGTAGATTTTTTTTCTGCCATTCAAGGCTCTTTCTCAAAGGTGAAGATCAGGTCTGGTTTGGTAACTTGATCACCTACTTAGGCTCAGGGGCCTCTGAAGACTGAGGAAAGGGTAGCTTCATGGACTACATAACAAAGCTGCCCAATTATATCTTGTCCAAGTCTGGTCATTTCCCTTGGGAGGTGAGAGACCATCTCCAGGGGCCAAAGGGGATAAGGAATCTTTTGCCCCTGAAAATTTTCAGAACTCTACAGGCAAGAAGCTCCCATCATCACCCACGGATGATGTTGGTTTGCCAGCTGGCCACTCCACACGGAATGCAAGGAGAGACCAAAGAGGCAGACTGTTCTAGACTGGTATGCGGTGAGTTTGATAAGCAAGGGAACTTGCTAA